GAGCATTAGAATAGTCCCCCACAGTGGTGAGAATGTCGAAGCATTCAGCAATGGACATGTGGTCTCGATGATGGGGGGTTTCCCGATTGGAAATGATGGAGAGGGTGTTAAACACGGATGCCCAGTACTGCAGGGCCTCCGGCATCTGTGGCAGATCCTTGCTTACTGCTATATTTCCAAGGTTTGACAAGGTTCTCAACCCTGCCCAGTACTGCTCAGGATGCATGACTCTGAGTGCCGCGGACGCGATGGCTGCTGGCCTTGCAATGGCTTTGAGGATATTCTCGCAGGAAGGTCCCTTCAATGATGCAGATACCTCCGGATCGGACACATTCTTTTGGATTGGTAAGTATGACTGCTGGAATCACCATCTCATCAGATCCTACCTCGTGTCCTTGTTGAAACCATGCCGGAGATAGATTGATGCATCCGGGAGTTGCTCCAACATCTTCCGAGCCCCGGTTGAACAACCTTTGATTAGTTCACCAATTGCCATCAGCCCTTACACTTTTTTCAAGGCTTGGAGAGAGCAAATAGGTGGCCTCCCTGATTTCCTTCTGTAGGTTCCATTAATATTCGATATCCATCGAGTAACAATGTATATTACACACCTGGGTGGTGTCTGTCAGGGCATCTGGGAGATACCATGCAATGATGGCACCGGATGCATCAAGAATTATTGCAGGTTCATCGACCAACCTTTTGCCTTCATGGCCAGGAGGACACCTCTCAAGCAACCTCACCTCTTTATGTTCATTATGCCTGGTGTCCTTCGGGGAGATCAATTTGCTATATCTTGCAATTGTTACAAGTAACATCGGCTACATGGCCCCCCTATCATTTTTCCCCTTCGTCCTCGCCCTCGTATGCCTCCGGCTCGCACTTCTCTACCGACTATCCGTTGACCGGATCCTCGGGACCGTTCCCGTCCCTCGCCTCCCCCTCCCAATCGCACCAACGTGCGCACGTGCCTTCGGGCTATGACTCGTTCTGACTCGTGCCACCAATGTGGCTTTCCTTATCTTGTCTTATCTTTCCTTTGACTCGTGCATGCTGCACGTTGTATCATTTACCGTTGGCTCGTTCCAACGTTTCTCGGTCTCATTCCGCATTCGACCTTACATCACTAATCAGGCTCTGCCACCATCGTACCTATACCCTTTCCGTTTCCCCTTTGCCCTTACCTACAGTACGGTAGCCTTGCCCTTAACCCTTTCCACTTAGTATAAGTAGTCGGTCACTCTGTACTAGATTCCCTAACTTGAATCTACTCAATCTTCCCTCGAACATACTTCCCTCTGAAGCCCCCTCAGCTTCAGTCTCTAGTATCTTTTCTTAGGTGCTCATCGCGCCTAAGTCTACCTCGATCGACCACCTCATCGTTCGGACAAGACTGTCCTTACTTTGAGAACGTCAGTGACTTTGAAGACATCTGTCTTAGAAGTCACGTGACACGCGCGTCTCTGATATCTGCCGACTCGACGTCGCCAGTCTCAGTCGCTACACCGGACCCTTCCGGTTACGTCACGAATGTTAGCGGACGACGCCCCTCTTAGGGCTCCGCATAACAGATCTATTTGAGTGCGTAACAGCAATATCCATCTGCATCTGAACTGTCATGCAGGAATTTGAATGATAAATAGAATTTTCCGAATCTGCAGGAAGACCCACTGGGATTTTTAGATGCCTTTATGAGTACATCAGCCAAGCGATCGCACGCCATCACCAGATCAGTGTCTAGGTTGGGGGAAGGTATGACTGGGCCTCCTCCAGTCTTCTCTGCCTTGAATTTCTGCTCAGTATATTCCCCTGCTTCATAAGTCACAGTCAGGGCTCAAGTGCGCCAGATGTTTATGCTATCAGGAGGGGAAGGGGAAGAACCGTTCATGCTGGATGTTAATCTTAGGAAATCAGACGCTGAATGCTGGATGTCCAGACTTTGGTGTTATAGGGGGTGGAGATAGAGAGGATCAGATAAGGGAGCGATGGATAATTTTGGCCGCTGTCAAAGATGTATTATTATCCATTGCTCAATGAAATACTACCTGATTGGAAGTGTGCTGGTCATCAGATATTCATTTGTCGACTCCCGGGTCCCGGTACTCGGAAGTCGGTACGGTTGACCTATATTTAGGTGGTCGGAATTTGGCGTCTCATAGGGCAACACAAGCTTCGTACTGCCATATCAGGAGATCACCTGCTGCTCCGGGAACTCGGTAACTGTGATTTATTACCTCCTCTGAGTAAGGTTGACTCGCTGGTCATCAGATATTCATTTGTCGACTCCCGGGTCCCGGAACTCGGAGGTCGGTACAGTTGACCCATATTTGGGTGGTCAGAATTTGGAGTCTCATAGGGCAACACAAGCTTCGCACAGCCATGTCAGGAGATCACCTGCTGCTCCGGGAACTCGGTAACTTTGATTTATTACCTCTGAGTACGGTTGACTCACATTTTGGTGGTCAGAACTTGGCTTCTCGTAGGGCAACACAAGCTTCGCACCGCGGATTCCACATTCTGCAAGACAACCTAAGCACCATCAGAGGCCATGTCAAGAGAGCACCTGCTGCTCTCTTCAGAAACATCTCAACTTCGGTTGGCCATTTAACACGGAAAGTATTAACTAAATTATGTGTTGAGTTCCAGGTCCCGGAACTCGGAACTCGGAACTTGGTACAGTTGACTCCAATTCTGGTGGTCGGAACTTGGCTTCTCGTAGGGCAACACAAGCTTCGCACCCTGGATTCCACATTCTGCAAGACGACCTGTGCACCATCAAAAAGTATTAACCAACTTATGTGGTGAGTTCCGGGTCCCGGAACTCGGAACTCGGTACAGTTGACTCAAATTCTGGTGGCCGGAACTTGGCGTCTCGTTGGGCAACACAAGCTTCGCACTGCCATGTCAGGAGATCACCTGATGCTCCGGGAACTTGGTAACTTTGATTTATTACCTCCTCTGATTTGGTTGATGTACAACTACCTCAGCTCCATCATGTCTACAATTATGATACACATGGGCCCACCCATCTATATTGTATACCACCCTCGGCCCACCGGTCTAATACAACATCCCATACAACACCCTCGGCCCACCGGTCTAATTAATATGCGTCTGGGCCCACCCGTATAATACAATATTTTATAATACCCTCGGCCCACCCGTCTAATTTAATATGTGTCTGGGCCCACCCGTGAATGTGATAACAAGTACCTACCCATCTATCTCATACACATCTACCTTAATACACCCATCTGCATAATATCCAGCTACCTCGGCCCACCCGTCTACCTAATATTCATTTACATCAGCCCACTCATCTACTCTATATATTCCCTGCATGGGCCCACCCGCCTCCATTGGGAATAATTTGCCTCCCGGCCCATCCATCATAGTCGAGAATATTTTTATCATGGGCCCATGGTCCGCTGGCCCGTATCATACGGGATATTATGCACGTCCGTTCCCTCGTATTATACGGAGATAGGTCACTGTAGTATGTGTCTCTCAGTGGTTGTCCTTTGGGTCAAGTCGTTGTCTCGTATCCTGGTCTTGCTGTAGGGCACCCATTTGTTTTAAGTGTTTTCACCTATAGTCAAGATTCCTCTTCTACACCGGGTGATCAGAAATCTTGGAACATCATCTCTATTTAGGATATATTAAGGTCAGAGCAACCGAGTTTGCCATAAGTTTCGTCATTTCCAGGTTAGTTAATCAAACACATTGTAATCCTGCCATCATCCCAATTCCCATGGATTTCTTCCGGTATAAATGTGTCTCCCTATGCTGTATGGCATTTTTGAGAGTATTACTGTATGCTGCCTGTATACTATATGATAAACTTGGTCTAAGTTTGTGTGTTTTGCAGTCCTAAATTCTATGAACCGGAAACACAGGGCATGTTAAGCCTGAGAGTATCATGTTGGCAGATAATCTCTTGTTCGGTTCTACTTTCGGATACATGGTGGCGATTGGCTATGTAAGATTATACTGTATCCTTTCTTCTACCAAGACCTCAACTGCTTTGCAATGGCCCGATCTAACTCATCAGTACACAGCCCCCAAAAGACCAAGCAGGAATTGACTGAGGAAGCGCTGCTGGTCTTACAATCTCACCTAGAAGAATGGAAGGAAGCAACCGGTAAGGATAGGAAAACGATTATGAGGGCGGTCATAAAAGAGGCCAAGATGCAAGCCCCTAAGATGGATGCCCAGCTGTTGAAGAAAAGGAAATCTGTAAGCAGCCAATCTTCTAATTTCATAAATGCTCATGATGGATGAAGATGTACCGGTGTAGAAACAACAATACTACTAGGAACAAATGATGCTCCTGGCAGTATCTATAAATGTTGATAGGTCGCGCGTTGCCTAGTCTGCGTTGCTTGAGGAGACAAGTGCGTTCGACCCTAAAGGGGAGGTGAGTACAGCAAAGATCTAGAGGTATGCGCGGCAACGCGAAGCGTGAGAAAGCGCAAGTGCGCGCAAGGTACGAAGGCGCAGGAATGCGCGCGCGCGTAAGCGGAAATAAAAGAGACTAAGCTTAAGTGATGATATAAAGCAATATAAGAAAAGATAGATGCAAAGTGTAGACCAATAGACTTCTACTATGTACTGCTAAGTAAATAGTGGGTGATAACTAGTAAGTTCAAGGGAAAAGTAAGGTAAAGTGTAGTATGTACTGCTGGCGCTTATATAGCGCGCCTAAGCGCGGTCATGCGGAGCCGAAGCGCTACCGAGTAGGTATGTAAGGATATATATGAGTGAGAAACTATGATAAAAATAAAGGTGGAACTATGCTAATAAAGGAAATGGAAATATACGTACTAGGAAGCTTGGTGGACAGTGGATGGATGCATCTGAATGGCTGGCGCTATAGGGCGCGCAAGCGCAGGAACGCGCGCGCGCGTATACATCGCGAAGCGCGGGAATGGTGCGCGCATGGCGCGCGTTGCGTGGGAAAGCTGCGCGTCATATAGAGATAGCTGTGGGTAGCGCACAGAATGACGCTGCAAGTTTGTGCTGTATACTTCCTAGTGAAACCTGCCATATCACACCATGAGACACACGAGTCTCTACACCGGGACTGGTTATATAACCGGAGAGCGGAAAAGACACTCAAAAAACAAAGCAAGTTCAGTAAGAAATGGACTACCCAGTTGGTGATAGAACACCAGTACAAGAAGGAGATCCTTGAAAAGACCAGAGCAAGGCCAGGAGGGAAGGAAATGATTAAACACTACCAGGGTGCGGTCAATGCAATTATGGCCAGTTTATCTGAAGAGCAGCTGGATGAAGCAAATACGACTGCTATAGAATGGTCTAGCAGTGCTCCTCCTACAGATGTCCAGGCTGAGTTCGCTCAGAAGAAAGCTCCTGGTATGATGAAGGATCTTGCAACTCAGTTATGGAGGCAGGCTGGTATGAGGATATTCATATTGTCTGCATGGAAAACTGAGGAAGGCGAGGTGAGGATCAATGGGTGAGTGACATTTTAATTCTCTCAACCGGTAAAGATGGCCTGATCCGGTCATAAGAATTGACTTCAATGAAAAGTTAGAGGGCAATAGTTTCACAGATACAAAGGACTGGAAGTCCATGTTACCAGAGTGGAATGCCTATGTCAGAGAAGAGTTTGGTGAGCTTCTTTTTTGTGCAATGTTGATGCATCCGGTCAAGTACTTACACCATGTGATGCCAGCAATTGACCGGAATAATGATGACGATGGCAATGAGGATGCTGATGGAAAGGAGAGCAGAAATCCAAGGAGAAAGAAGGAGGAGTTTACTTTAGAGGTCGATGCCTATGGGCTTCCGGTCATATCGGATATTGAGCCCCTCAACTTAGAAAACAAAAAGTCTCTTATCCGGACATTCCTCACAAAACACTACAGTAAGTTTCACAAATGAAATATCTGGAGGGTTGATAGAGGAATTACTTATTTTGCAGGGTTTTGCAGTCAAAAGCCAAAGGTGTCTGTTCCTTGGTCTGCAGTGACGGAGGCTCAAGAGAATTTCATCAAGCCCAAGTTTTTTTTTTTACCTGCCGGTGAAAAGATCAAGGACCCGTCCAAGCTTCAGCTGCATAACGCTGACTGGCTCTTGCAGTTCTGGCATCAGAGACAAAAGGACAAGGTTCGGCCAACATTTGAATTCAAAGGCTGGCAAGACCATGAGAAGGAGATGAGGGAGCCGGTGGAGAAGATCTCAGAGAGCGACTCTAGCACAACATGCAGTCCAGTAACAGCAAAGACCAGAGTTCCGGTTCAAAAACCAACCGGTAGGTTGACCGGAAAGTCATCTGGCAAGTCAACCAGCAGGGTGGAACTGGAGTCAAGTAGTGAGGGCGAGGATGGTGAAGGCGAAGGTGAAAATGATGAAGCTCAATTACCGCCTTCCAAGCTGAAATTGACCGGAAAGCCAGGCAAAGCTGTCCAATCTATTCTGGTTAAAAAACCACCTGCAAAGTCAACCGGAAAATCATCCGGTAAGCCGGTGTAGAAACAACAATACAGAGAGGAACAAATGATGCTCCAGACTGTATCTATAAATGTTGAAGGTCGTGCGTTTGCCTAGTCTGCTATGCTTGAGATGACAAGTGTGTTCGACCCTAAAGGGGAAGTGAGTGCAGCAAGGATCTAGAGGTGTGCACCAAAGCGAAGCGCGAGAAAGCGCAGGTGCACGCGTGTATTGCGCGAAGCGCGGGAAAGCGCGCGTGCGTATGCGGAAATAAGAGAGACTAAACTTAAGTGATGATATGATACAAGGTAAGAGAAGAGTGATGTGAAGTGTAAACAAATAGATTTCTACTATATTCTGCTAAGTAGTAAGTGAGTAGTAAGTAGTCAGTTGAAGGAAAAGTAAGTGGTAAAAATGTAAAGTTTCAAAGTCCGTAATAGTATGTACTGCTGGCGCTTATATAGCGCGCCTAAGCGCGGTCATGCGGAGCCGAAGCGCTACCGAGTAGGTATGTAAAGATATATATGAGTGAGAGTCCATGATAAAAATAAAGACAGAACAATATGCAAATGAGAGAAATGGAAATATACACACTAGAGGGCTTGGTGGACAGTGGATGGATGCTTCTGGATGGCTGGCGCTATAGGGTGCTCAAGCGCAGGAATGGTGCGCGCATGGTGCGCGTTGCGCAGGAAAGCTGCGCCTCATATAGGGATAGCTGTGGGTAGCACACAGAGTGATACTACAAGTTCATGCTGTGAACTTCCTAGTGAAAGGTGCCATATCGCACCATGAGAGGCATGAGTCTCTACACCAGTCGGAAGGGTGGAACCAGAGTCAAGTGGTGAGGAAGAGAATGGGGATGAAGAAGGCGATGCTGAAGTCCAATCACCGCCCCCGGAGCACCAATCTATTGGAAAGTGAAGCAGAGCTGTCAGATTTCATCTGGAGGAAGACTCCGGCCCATTGGTCAAGAAATCTAAATCAAATGTCATTGGGCGCAACATACCACTGGAGGACGATGCTGGCACTCCTTCAGCAGAATCATCCAGCAATCATTCTACAGCCCCACTGCCTCCCAAAACTGCATCAAGAAGTAGCTTTGTTGGTCCTGCATCAGCCAGTCGAATGAAGAAGTCCGGTCAGAAGCAGAAGTCCAGTCAGAAGATACCTGCACCTAAACCAACGGCTCCTGCCACCACATGGGGCACTGGTAAGAAAACTCAAACAGATGGAGCTCACATTGATAAGCCGGAGCCAAAGCGCTCCACTAGAGCTGCAAAGGTGTCTTATAACGTGAATTACATGCAAAGAGCGTAATAATCACATTTCATTGAATGTACTATACAAGGGGTGGAAAGTATCAATGGTATATATATAGATGTCATGTCGACAGTCGGTATATTGATATAAGTTGAAATGCCAATAATAACTCACTAGTGGACTGAAGAACTTCCTCGCTGACAAGTGCTTCTTCCGGCGACATTGTACCATGAGCCCTTTCCATCTCCAACCAGTGCATTGCCAAGCGCAAGTCACCTACAGCACGCTGAATCACAAATCCGATAGGTTCCGGTTCACTAGCCATCTCCAAAGGGGTCTCTTCCGGTTGAATATTCAAATGATGGGCAAGATCATGTGCTGGATCTGTCCCAAAACCCATGTCCAAAGGTGTCTCTTCCGATCAAAGACCCACTGAATGTACATGTAACAGTGTAACCTAATAAAATGATAAAACTCACTTGACTGATCTGGAATATCAACCAGATCAACGCCGGAAGGCCTCTGGTCCAGATAATCATGTTGAACCACAGGCGAATTAAAACCCATGTCAGATGACATCTGGTCCGGATCACGATGTTGAACCGGAGGTGAATAAAAGCCCATGTCTAATGACATCTGGTCTGGATCATGATATTGAGCCTGAGGTGAATGAAAGCCCATGTCTAAAGACCTCTGGTCCGGATCATGATGTTGAACCGGTGAACGAAAGCTCATGCCCAAATCTGGATGACCATGTTGAACCGGAGGTGAATTGAAACCCTGTTGAACCGGAGGTGAATGAAAGCCCATGTCCAAATCCGGATGACTGTGTTGAACTGCAGGTGAATTGAAACCCATGTCCAAAGGGCTGTCTTTCACTGAAACATCATTGACTTGATGATAATCATGAGTAATCCCATTCCTTGCATATTGAATCAACCAAATACCTGAGCCACCGGCCAGTTGATTGTGTGCCAGGAAGTTCAGAGAGCCAGTCGCTGGCTCCGCGAAATCATCGGTATTGAATGCATGGCCAGGTGGAAATCCCATGTCCAACTCGGATATAGGTGTGGCAATTGAAGACCAGTTAGTATTGGACAGAGGGAACCCCATATCCAATGAGTCTGACACCGGTTGGCTTGGGAACCGGTCGAAACCCATGTCGAATGACCGGCTGTTCTCGATCCTGCATTCTGGCATCATCAAAGTCTTGCCATCCTTCCACCGGTCATAAGCAGATGCAACATCTAAGTCTAGAAGGCATCAATAATTAGGTGTATAGGTCAGTATGAGAGGACTTACAGTCGCCAATGTTTGAGCAATTCATTCCAAGGCTGTCGTGTCCCAGTTCCAATATGAAAAATACTGCCGGATCATGTGAGGTACCTTCCGGAAAGGCAATTGATTTATTACCTTTGGCCTCGCTAGATAAGTGTAAATGATCCTCAATAATCTCTGAGGACGAAATTCTTTTCCTCCTTCTGCTGAATGACTTGTCTAAATCAGTATATTTTGTGCGATATCCGGAATGTGTCATGGGTTGTTCCAAAGCCTGTCAGTGGATGCTCTACTCACGCCAATTTGATAGCGATGATGTGGCAACAATGGCATTCGCACAAGGACACATGGCAACTTCGGAGAAGAGAACCGGTACATTAATTGTTCCTTCGGAAATATCCGAAATCACCTGAACATCCAGCAATTTTCAATTTCCTCATTCCCTTCCGGATCAAGAGAACCGGTACATTCATTGTTCTTTCGGCAATATCTGAAATTACCTGAACATCTGGCAATTTTCAATTTCCTTGTTCCCTTCCGGATCTCTTTTGCAAGCCAACCTGCTACCGTCATTTTGTCTTACTGCTGATATGTCTTCCAACATTAGTACTGCTGCTGCCACCACTGCCAACCAGGCACTCATTGCCCTTCTTGCCAGGTTGAATCAGATGGTTGAAGAGGTTCTCCGGTCCCGGTCAGAAGATGAGAGGATGAGGTTGAGCAGAGCCATTGCATCTCAAATGGTATGTTTGTCATTTTTTTTGTATTGTATCCATTAATATCATTAGAATGATGCCATTCACTCCTACCGGACGATGGCTACCTACATCCCCCTTTGCCTGCTCTCTATGGCAGCTGAGATTCATAGAGCTCAGAGGGGTACCACATGATTGGTTCAAGTACCGGATTGGACTCGTGTTGGCAACAATGAGGACATTTGCCGAGGTCATCTGTTATACCCCAAGACATTGGGTCCTGCTCCCACTGCACCAACCACTACCACTGCACCAACACTGCTATCTGGCCCTCCACCGGCACCAGCACCGGCACTTGCACCTGTAGCCAAACCTGCACCGGCACCTGCTCCTGTACCGGCACCTGCTCCTCCACCGGCACCTGCTCCACCAGCATTTGCTCCACCGGCTCCGGAACTACTGGCTCCCAACACAATGCGCATTCCTGGCAATACATCTGGTGCCATTGCAGGCCCATCAAGACCACGCAAACGACAATTCAGTGCGAGTCCCCCACGTCAGGTCAAGAGGGCCCAGAAGGCTATCCCCAAGTCGAAGCCACTGTTAACAGACACGGACACTGATGGTGATACAGTTCGCATTGGCAAAGATAAGCCCAAGGCGAAGGGAAAAGGAAAGGGAAAGGTGAAGGCGAAGGCAAGGGCAATGTCACCGGATCGCGATAACCAGCAAATGATGATGGAAGATGGCGATCATGATCCGGAAGTCATTGTGAGTTTCCGTTTCATACTTTAAATGCAACTGACAATAGCGGTCAGCTCCATAATCCAAAACAAACCATGATCAAAAAGGTACATTCATTTTTTCAATATCAACACCGGCAATGTCATTGATTCATACAGAATTTACCAACCATTGTCATTACCACTTGGCCAATGCTGCCCCTTCCAAACCAGAAGAAGAAGGCCGCTGACTCGGAGGAATACGAACCGGAGGAGGAGGCGGAGGAGGAGGAGGCGGATGAAGACGATGCAATTGAGCCTTCTGGGACACGGGTCAAACCGGGCGAGGGACGATTACCAGTAAGTTTTCATATTATTGCACCTATCATGAGTATGGCTAATATAATCATGATAATAGTCCAAGTCTGGTACAGATCGTACCAGAACAGCCAAGGACAAGGCAAAGACCAGGGGCAAGCGTCCACAGCTGGTAAGACATCCAGTAACTCTCCACCGGTCGTGCTATACTAATTCTTCATAGAAACCCATTGGTACGCCTATCCTACCATGCAGGAGATGCACAATTATGAAGGCCAAATGTGAAAGCTGGTTGACCAAAAGGGGCGAGGTCGCCCATACTTGCATTCTTTGCAGCAAGTGGAGGATGAAATGCATCTGGCTGGATGATCCAGTCCTACTGGCCACAGCCATAGTCACTAGCTCCAAGACGACTGGAAAAACCAAGACCATTGGGCAGTCAAAAAACAAAGGCAAAGGTAAAGGCAAGTATCTTATTTTCCATAGTATATCTACTAATTGTATTCTTCTAGTCGTCCAAACTCAGTGTCCCAGTCCTATTCTGGAGGAACTGGATGTCGATGTTGATATGACCGATGCCCCTGCACTCACTGGCACCGAACATCCTGGCACTGCTACTGATGCAGGCCCTGAGGTATCTGTTGATGATTTTTCGACGGATCAATGGATCAAAGCCATGGATGAAACTACCCTGCCCCCAGCATCATTTATAGGGACACCGGATGACATCCGGTACTCTCCAGTCTATCCTCATACTCAAAGACCCGCCTCTCCTGTCGACATTTCTGTACCTCATCAGACTCCCCAGCCCCATTCTTCGACCAATGTCGAGATGGATGCCCTCCTGGCACAAATTCAGATCGACATGGATCAGCTCCAGACACGTGACGACATTATTCATGATGAGCTGTCCCATTGTATTGATCGGCTGCAAGCCAGCTTTACAAATGAATTAGCCTCCCAGAAGGAAGTGGTAGATCAGTTGACTTTTCAGGTCAACAGTATCGCCCGGTACCTGAGCAACAGCCACAGGGCCACCACAGCAGCCAGTTCAACTCCACCAGCATTCAATCCGCCACCTATTGTCATCCCCAATACCCCCACATTCCCTGACTTTGGCTCAATCAGCGCCTTGGGTCATTCCATCACCAACAATGTCTTCACTCTGGATGTGTTTTCGACCAACACACGTCCTGTCGGAGATGGCTCACCAGTCGCAAGGCATGAGCAGGTACCTACACCCTCCACCTCTACCATCAACCCTGTCCCCACCATGGGGGAATCCGGTCCACACAGTCATCCGGTTAGTGCACTTCCGGTACCGGCCCCTACTGTCCCAATGGCATCTATGCCCTCCACTAGTACCCTTCACACCATGCTCACTGGGCCACCACATCTGCCGGCAGATGGTCAGTCCCTTTCGGCTCCTTTACCAAACCGGGCATTTGCACCTCAATCACGGTGTAGAAACAACAATACAATGAGGAACAAAAGAAGCTCCTGACTGTATCTGTAAAAGTTGTAAGGTCGCGCGCTGCCTAGTCTGCGTTACTTGAGAAGCAAGTGCGTTCAACCCTATAGGGGAAGTGAGTGCAGCAAGGATCTAGAAGTGTGCGCTTAAGCGAAGCGCGAGAAAGCGCAGGTGCGCGCAAGGTACAAAGGCGCGGGAACGCGCGCGCGTATTAGCGCGAAGCGCGGGAAAGCGCGCGCGTGTATGCGGAAATGAGAAACTAAGCTTAAGTAGTGATATAAAGCAAGATAAGAGATATAAGAGTGCAAAATGTAAAGGAATAGCTTTCTACTATATTCTGCTAAGTAGTAAGTGGGTAGTAACTAGTAAGTGAAAAGTAGGAAAAGTAGGTCCCGTGTAGTATGTACTGCTGGCGCTTATATAGCGCGCCTAAGCGCGCTCATGCGGAGCCGAAGCGCTACCGAGTAGGTATGTAAAAATATATATGAGTGAGAAACTATGATAAAAATAAAGGTGGAACTATGCTAATAAAGGAAATGGAAATATACGCACTAGGGAGCTTGGTGGACAGTGGATGGATGCATCTGGATGGCTGGCGCTATAGGGCGCGCAAGCGCGGGAACGCGCGCGCGCGTATACATCGTGAAGCGCGGGAATGGTGCGCGCATGGCGCGCGTTGCGTGGGAAAGCTGCGCCTCATATAGAGATAGCTGCGGGTAGCGCACAGAGTAATGCTATGAGTTCGTGCTGTATACTCCTTGGTGAAAACTACCATATCACGCCATGAGAGGCATGATTCTCTACAACGGCAACAAGGTTGGTTGGTGAGTGCTAGGCATGACAAGAACCCTTCTGGTAATAGGGCCAAGTAATGCCAGTACATGTAGTTTGTTTTGTTGATAAGGACAATCTAATGCCATGGTAGAATGTACTAGATGGTGTATTAGATTGACCGGTTCATGTATGTAGTATACCGGCCGATGGGCTTGTGAAATGATGCATCAACCAGATAATGTAGCTACCAGATCATGGGCCAGTGATTAAAAATGCACCTGCCAGATGATAATATGACCGGATCTCCGGTGTATATCATTCGTCCGGCTCGGTCGTTTCCATTTTACACCGGATTCACTATTCGATAAGATTCCTGTAAGTCTGCTATATACCCCCGGCCCATCCGTTTACCTTGGGTACACATCCGGCTGGCCCACTCGTCTCCATCGTACACAAAATTTGGTATTAATAATGTCATGTATACTAGTAAATTCCTATATAACTATCTATACTGTATGCTCTCGGCCCATTCGTATGTGTCGGGTACACAGATTCACTCAGCCCACTCATATGGTCAGCCCATCTGTTTACCTTGGGTACACACATCTGGCTGGCCCACTCGTCTCCAATGTAAACGGGAATTAGCATTTATAATGTCCTACATATATACTAATACATTCCTATACCACTGTCTATATAATGTACCCTCAGCCCATCCGTGTGTCTTGGGTACACACATTCACCTGGCCCACTCATATATCATGGTACAATTATGTCCATGGGCCCACATGGGATGGCCCATTTCCAACAGTACATTGTCACACTCAGCTGTCTGTCTGAGACAGAGTGAATTCACTGAAGGGGCTCATCTCCTGCCTTGCATTATCATATTTCAAAATATGCACAAAGCTCTTATGATATCACTGCATGGCTCAGTGAACTCACAGGAGATCCGGCAGTGAAGGTAAGTCTAGATGATCATTGTATGAATAGTTCTATTAACCTGGTGCTCAGGACTTCATACCACGTCTCAAGGACCATCTGCTGGGCCAAATTCGTGGCATTAATTATGCAGGGGATGAACAGGACTTCTCTGATGATGACAGAAGCCAGCTTATTCTCGCCAACAACCAGCTTTTCGAACACAGTGTCCTGCGGATCAACTACACCACTTACGACCTTCGGAGAGCACAAGACTCAATTAACCCATGCACTCATGCTGACATTATGGTGTTGTCACATGAGGATGACGATGATCGACATCCATACTGGTATGCTCGGGTGATCAAGATTTTCCATGTCAACATTTGGTATTACAGTCCAGGCAGTATCAATGGACAGACACCAATGCGCATGGATGTAGTTTTTGTGCGCTGGTTCGGTCGTGACATTTCTTTCAAAGCTGGTTGGTCAGCAAAACGGCTCCACCACATTGGTTTTTTCAAATGTGACGAGCCAGATAGTTTTGGCTTTGTTGATCCAGACCAAGTGATCCATGCTGTTCACTTGATTCCAGGATTTGAACATGGGCGTACTGACACCAGACTCACCCCTTCATTTGTGCGTCCAGCTGAGGATCACAATCAAGATTTTTTGTATTTCTATGTTAATCAGTATGTATTTTCTATCTGATTGATATTGCTATACACTGATATAATGAATAGTTTTGTTGATCGTGATATGTTTATGCGCTTCCATGGGGGCGGTGTCGGTCACCAGGTCACACAAGAGTGGGATGGATTCTGCAAAATGATGGTGCTGTCGTATCGGTTGATGAAGATGAAGATGAGGAGTTTGGTTTAGGAGAGGTGAGTGATGATGACAATGAGGTTGATGATGATGACGGCAAGGAGGATGGTGAGGAGGATGGAATTGACGATGAAGACCAAATCAGGGCTGACGAGGGAGAGGAACTTGACGATGACATTCTCACACAAGAGGGATATGGAGCCTTGTAATATTGTTATACTATTATTGGGCCACCGGTGGCCTTACATTAGCTAGCGCCAGGTATATCAGGCACCAGTCAGGCTGCAGGCGGTATAAGGTGGTGTAGCATAGTACTAGATCATAGTGCATCATTTGAATTTCATTATGACAACTGAGTTATCATGTACTGGTCAGCCTGAACATTCTCCATCTATTGCATGATTCAGCCTGATCGTAAATATGAAAGTGATATTTGGTGATCTGTGCTTGCCGTACATGAGCTAGACAACCATGGGACCAGAATCCTAATGATCAGGTGGTGTCAGGTTTTTGGACTTTTGGTGATGGTCGCGGTCATCGTGGTCATCCGATATCGGGGTCACCCATATTTGGGGGGTGCTGCGACACTATACTTGAAGTTACTTGCTGGAAATAAACTCAAGTTGTATATATGATACATGGTCTTTCAGCGGTTATTTTGCACATCATATTGCAGACTCGCATCGTGATTATAATACATACTTTCATGGTAAATTTTTGTATGCATCTGAGAAACCAGAAAGCCGAAGCCTGAAATCTGGGGACTCGGGAGTTGAAACGCACTAGAAATTAGTCTTCGCAGGACAATAATAACCAAGTGAGTTTATACTAATAATGTCAAGTCCCTCAAGGCACTGATGCAGCCTATCAGTGGGTTGGATTGTGCTACAGAATGCTACAGAGCGCTCTGTAGCTGCATAATATACCGGTTAAGCTTAAAGTGTCGCGGCAAATACTGCAGCAGTCATACTACTACTAGTGGCACAGCATTTTCCTACATAGTGCCCGTTCTCTCATCACTACAATCACATGTCGCTAATGTACAGTCGACCTGCTCATGCACCCACCACAGGTTCGTGTCATATTAATGCACTAAACAGTACAACTGCAGCGCACCAGTTGGCAGTGATGCATTATTGGTGCAATTGTACCACCCTTTGCTTTCCATGCTGATGCATGTTGACCGTGTACGACCGTGCAATGTTTCCCTTCTTTTGATGGTTTCATGCATTACTGATGTGGTGAGCATGTAGGATGTGGATCCATGCTGGCCCACTGGGAGCCATTGTTAATTGTGTATGAGCTTCCCTTTTTTGAGAATGTTCAAATGTTGATGACTGATGTCACATTACTGTAATGCATTCCAGGCATCAGTAATGCATCAGTAATGCATCGCTATTGCTTTGCTCCCCACTGCAGTGTTAATGCATCACTGCAGCAAATTGTGCATCAAAATGACAAGGACACCTGTGGTTAAACTTCTGAAGCTCAAAGTACTGGCATGTATGGGGTCTTGCAGCTCGTCTTACTGAACTTTGACAGTTGGTTCACCAGGGCGACTAGGATAGCAAAACGATATTGCAGTTGCGCGCCGCAAAATGTGCCATGGTCCATGGGCTCCTGTTTGTGCATACCTACTTGCAACTGTAACCGTGACTCAACTCCTTACAAGTATAGGCACACTGTATCGATCCCAATGTCATCTACCTTAGCAGGCAGATCAAATCCCAGCACTCCGACTCAGCACTCGTTACTGATACCTGTCTAGCTCAGACTAACTGTGGTGTTATGAAAAGAGCACAAAAGGAAGGCATCAAGGACAGCCGACAGCGGTGACTAGCTGGCTATCTAGCAAGTCAAGGCCATTATGTACTACCACCTTGTGAATCGGAGGGATGAATGTTTAAGGTTTCCAGCAGCAGGTATTGAGGCATGAATGAGACCTTGGCTCGAAACCAAGCCTGTGCGACCCGAGACGTATAAAAGCCTCCTTTCTGCGACCCCAACTGCATAACTCAAGCTCTTTCAGTTGACCATTCAGGAAACATGTCTGGCGTAGACACCTTCTCTGTTCCATTGTCTGCAGGTAAGCCTGCCTTTCAAAACCAGTTCAAGTCCACTTATTGTTGGAAATATCAGAGGCTATCTCCTCCGCGTGGCTTGCTGCATTTGTTTCTGACATATCCGGCCCCAGTTTTACTCTCAAGTGCTCGTTTACGAATGACAGCTACTGGCGGGATGTCTTGGCATTCACTCCTGATTTTCGCACCTTGCACTCAGTTTCAAAAATTCTCAGTTCCCGTTGCCCTTGCGCGACCAAGTCAGTTCCGACTCTTGCCAGGTGTCCGTCATCGGCGCATTAGTCCTACAAAGACGTTCATCCAGGGAATCGTTCAATTCCATACAGTCATAGTGCAATGCTCTGGCGTCTTTACTCTGACTCAAACAGAGGACTCATCATGGAAGGCTTGGTCCTTTGTGACCATGATGGACCGGTTGTCTGGCGTGGTCGATCGTTTTGATGGACATATGCCTTTCTGTCGCCCTGCCGAGTGGAACACTGCAATGGAGTACACAGCGGTCATCATGGGTGCAGGTCAGTGCGGCTTATCCATGGCCGCCTGTTTGGAGAATCTCGGGATCTCCACACTTGTCTTAGAGAGGTCTGGCAGAATTGGCAATAGTTGGTGTTTTCGATACGATTCACTGGAGACAAATACTCCCAAGGTGTTCAGTATGTGCAGCTGAAGTACTACCAACCTCGTCCTATGCTAATGTGCCAGCAGATCATCTACCCTTCGTCGAATTCCCAGAGAGATCCGGAAACTACACCCCCTGCAGAGACGTTGCTGACTATCTTGAAGATTACCAAAGAACTCTTGGTCTTCATGTGTTGACCTCAGCGAGCATTTCTGCCGCTTCATATGATGCTTCGTCAAGTACCTGGACATTATCTGTATCTCTTCCAGGGCAAGCCTCTATTACTGTGATGGCCCGGTACATGATTGTCGCAATAGGCGTTGGCACGATGGGAGGTGCACTCCCGTTCATGCCTTCGATTCCAGGAAAAGTACGCAAGCAGGACTGAATTCTTTGTTGATGCTGACCTTCCACATGCAGAGCTCCTTCCTCGGTTCTGTCATCCATTCAAGCGAATACAAATCTTCCTCCTGCGTCGGCGCGCAGAACGTCGCTGTCATCGGCGCAGGATGTTCTGTGCACGATATTGCTCAGGACATGGCAACTCATGGGTCTCAGACAGCACTTGTCCAGCGTTCCTCGACCCTCGTTTTGAGTCGCCAGGTGATCGACAGCCTGCTTACCGGTAATCTCAGTGCACTTGCTGTAAAGATATCTATTGATTTGGCTTGTAGGATATATCAGGCAGGATGTTCCTCCGACAGAGATCGCTGACCACTTCTATGTTGCTCTCCCCTTGTCAGCTCAACAGAATCCCCAGTACAACACCAAGGAGATGTATGCCCATATGGATCAGTTCGTTGGCAACATTCAAAAGTAATTTCTTCGTCTCACCCTTTTTCCTTAGGGACCTCAGAGAGAACTTGTCACAGCATGGATATCTCCTTCCCAGCCCTGAGGACAACTTTGTTCACTGTCTCTATGTTCGACGAGGTAAGTTTGTTTTTTCTGTATCGTTCTATTTTTCTCACCATTATTCCAGGTGGCTATTACATCGACCGGGGTTGTGCACAGCTCATCATGTCTGGCAAGGTATTATTAATTTTGCTGAGTTCCCCCACGCATGTTGCTTACTAGCAACCAGATTACTGTCAAGTCTGGGCATGAGATCTCCCACTTCTCCCCTTCCGGTGTAGAGACTCGTGCATCTCATAGTGTGATATGGCGCTTTACACTAGGGAGTATACAGCACCAACTCGCAGCATCACTCTGTGTACCATCCACAGTGATTCCTATATGACGCGCAGCTTTCCCGCGCAACGCGCGCCATGCGCGCACCATTCCCGCGCTTCACGATGTATACGCACGCGCGCGTTCCCGCGCTTGCGCGCCCTATAGCGCCAGCCATCCAGATGCATCCATCCACTGTCCACCAAGCTCCCTAGTGCGTATATTTCCATTTCCTTTATTAGCATAGTTCCACCTTTATTTTTATCATAGTTTCTCACTCATATATATTTTTACATACCTACTCGGTAGCGCTTCGGCTCCGCATGAGCGTGCTTAGGCGCGCTATATAAGCGCCAGCAGTACATACTATTACGGACAGACCTTTCACACCTTACTTTTCACCCAACTTTACCTAGTACTTACTACTTAGAAAGTCGCAGTAGAAATCTATTCATTAGCACAACACATCTCACATCCTTTATCTTGCTTATATCTTCACATAAGTTTAGTCTCTCTTATTTCCGCTTACACGCGCGCGCTTTCCCGCGCTTCGCGCTAATACGCGCGCGCGTTCCCGCGCCTTCGTACCTTGCGCGCACCTGCGCTTTCTCGCGCTTCACTGAAGCGCGTACCTCTAGATCTCCGCTGCACCTGCTTCCCCTTTAGGGTCGAATGCACTTGCCATCTCAAGTATCGCAGACTAGGCAACGCACGACCTACAACTTTTTAGATACAGTCAGGAGCATTTCTTTGTTCCTCTCAGTATTGTTGTTTCTACAACTGGAGCCCACCGCGAGGGGAGCAGTCAGCAAGATCTAGTTCCGCGCATTTCACGCATACAGGTCAATATCTTTGCATTTCAAAAGCTAATCATTTTCTAGTCACGCATTCTCGCGCCTTGCGCGCGCGCAATATTCCCACGCCTGTGCGCCTCGCGCGCGCACCTTTCTCGCACTTCACACTATTTAACGCATAAAGGTCAATCTCTTTGCATATTCAAAAGCTAACCAATTTCTAGTCACGCATTCTCGCGCCTTGCGCGCACGCTTTCCCACCCCTATACGCCTCACACGCGCCTGCGCTCTTTCACACTGCAATGCCTTATAGAATGCCCATCCGCGGCACAGCAAACGCGCCCAAGTTCGACGGCACTACAGACAACCTCGCCGAGTTTATTGATACCTATGAGCAGCTCGCTGATGAAGCAGGACTCCAAGGACTCGACCGCATCAAAGGTATTATCCGCTACCTTGAGCGCGACGATCGAGAACTATGGGGTGGAATGCCTGAAGCACAAGTAAGCGATTACGACGCCTTCTTAGACGAGGTAAAGGTAATGTATCCTGGATGGGATGGTAAAAGACGCTATGCGCTCGCAGACTTGCGCGCCATCGCGCGCGAATACGCTAACAAACCAATGTCTTCTTGCACAGAACTAAGCAATTACCTGCGCGCATTCAGGAAGATTATGCAGCCACTCATGGATGAAGACCGTATTGGAAAGGCCGAACGCGACCGCTTATTCATGGAAGGAATCCCTAGCGATGCTCAGGCGCAAATCTGCTTGCGCCTTATGATCAAATTCCCTGACCACCATCCATACGACCCCTACCCATTCATGGACGTCTTTGCAGCTGCGCAGTTCCTATTACCTGCGCGCGCTTTTCCCGCGCCAAGCGCGCCAGTTAGCGCGCCCATAGTAGCGCCAATTGCTACCTTAGTCACAGCAACTGCGCCAGTGCAAGTTAAGGTGGCTAAGTGTAAAGATCGCTATCATGCAAGCCGTGCAATGCAGGATATGACCATTAGCACTAATGCGACAGCTGGACTCTTCTATCGCACATCCTCAGAAGCTGTGCTTGACAAAAGGCCACCAGTTCCTATTCACGCGCCTCGTGCGCGCGCCTTTCCTGCGCCTTCGCGCGATTCACACACACCTCAACCATCAACTGCACCAGCATGCAAAGCCATACCAGAACGCACCACTTTAGATCACGAACTCGAGCGCGCGCTCGCGAAGCGCAACCAGAAGCGCACTGCAGGCGCCTCTTCACCATCAACCTCGCCAGAAGTCAGGGATGACTCTAAACATCTATTGCACACTAACGCGCCATCGCTCGAATCGCGCGCGCCTATTGCTATCACATCGCGCGCGCCTACCGCTATCGAATCACCAGAAGTCAGGGATGACTCTAAACATCTATTGCACACTAACGCGCCAGTTGAAACACGCGCACCTATCGCTATCGCATCGCACGCGCCTATCGCTATAGCCTCGCCATTAGTCAGGGATGACTCTAAACATCTATTGCACACTAATGCACCGCTAGAAACACGCTCGCCCCTCGCTATCGCATCGCTTAAGGAAGAAACCTCGCCAATCGCACCATCACCATCACTGCTCGCATCATTAGAGGTCAGGGATGACCCTAAACATCTATTGCACCTTAGCGCGCCTATAGAGGAGCCTCCTACCGCATCAGAGGCTCAAGTTGCACCTTGCATCAACCAGAGTTTGCCTCTGGTAACTCCAATTGTCACTAACGATTGCACGCATGTCGCGCTTTTTGCTTCCAGTGACTATCGCGCACCGGTAAAACATCCGTGCATCACGCTGCACAACCACCAAGCAGAGCATGTCTCAGGCGACCCTGGCGCAACTCAGGCGCACCATATTGCGCCTGAGGACGCGCAATGCACGCGCCTAGAGGCATTGTATATTTTTCCTCATCTTGTTTCGCGTTTTCTGTCTCTTTCATGTTTAAAGCTCTTAAGGAGCTATATGATGCTTCCAATCACTGTAACTTCATCTTTGCACCACCCCTTATTCATGCGCCATGATCACGCGCATCGCGCAATATGCGCGCGCGTTCCCGCGCCTCGCGCACTCATAATTTTAGCAGAGTTTTCACGCTACCGCATTTCTATCGCTTCTCCCCTTCTAAACCGCATTTCTATCATTCAACACAAAGTATATTTCAATCAGCCATCCAGGCGCGACTTAGGCGCGCGCCTGACACATACATATGCGCCTAACTCCCCTATCATCATCTTTAACTTTGCACTTCCCACATTTATTCACATTCTGCGCGCTTTTGCTTACCATGTCAATTTCATTCCTGCGCACCTTGATGCGCACTATTCTCCTTCACCTATGCGCCTATTGCGCCTTGATATACCACCCTTACAGCCCATTGGCGCAACATTTGCGCCTAATTCTTCACTATACATGTCTCTCGCTAATGCATTTGCAGAGAAATGGCCGTTCCTCGCGTGTTCGGCCAATATAATTAAATTCGCGCGAAATCGCACCAAGGCGCGCACATCGCGCGCATCCTATCAGCTTGTAGGGCGCCCCTACACCCCTTGCAGCGCCTCCCATTGGCGCGCCTTCAACCTGCAGCGCGTTGTGCAGGAATTCATTCTGCCAGTTACAAGCCCCCCCAAGCGCGCCAGCCTCGCTCATTCCAACCCTACCTTGAGTAAAGCGTCAGCTCGCAAGAGACGCGAAGCGCGCTAGTCACGCGCACTCGCACGCGCTCAAGGAGGAGGATCAAGCGCCTCAGCCGCGCATCGAAGAACAACATATAACATTGTTGTTTCATAGGATATCATTCATTTTACCCTGGGTTTCGTCCAGCGCGCTTTCATTTTTGTTTCTCTCATTATAATGCCGTCCCAAGGACTAATAACTCACTGATATATATGCATATAGGGATTGCCTAGAAGAACATACAAGAAAACAACCTTAGATTGTGTCCGCCTAGCTCAATAGTATTATTTTCTCTTCGCATGCATGACGCGGCACCATGCTCTTTTTACCTTAGAACGCACGCATATGCGCGCAATATTCCCGCGCCCATGCGCCTCATGCGCGCGCGTGTGCGCTTCCCGCGCCTCGCTCATAGGAAGGTGTAGATGTCGACAGCCGCACGAAGAAGACAAGTCGGATAGGACATCCGCAAAGTTTACCATTTTTTCCTTCGCATTTTCACATATAGTTTTACTCACACTGTTCAAACCTTACCACCTAATATTTAGCGCGCCTAGCAGGACTTGGTTTGGACTTGGATTGGATCGCTCTTGGACCGCACCACTTCGCATCATATGCACAATACAACACACGCGACACTCACTCGCTTTCTTGCGCCTTGTGCGCGCGCGCTTTCCCGCGCTTCACGCTGTACATGCGCGTCTCGCTCATGCTTCGCGCGCCACATCCATATCACCCTTGCATCATCACCCCACACCCATGGCGCACTATTCACACCAGAGTCACCCTCACAACCCACCATGCTACGCTTCATTCCCGCGCCTTCACGCATAGCGCGCGCACATTCTCGCGCCTCGCGCGTACCATGCGCGCAACTTCCTGCGCTTCACGCACATCCACGCAATAATTCCTGCACTTGCGCATTCATCGCCCAATGACCCAAGCATCATACAGGCATCGCGCACACATACTATCACGCAAAATCCTCACCATGCGCGCGCTGAGTGGGGACACTCAGAATTTAAGTCCCTGGGAGATGTAGAGACTCGTG